TACGTTGATCTAAGGTCGGATATAAAGGTCAGACCAAGGTCAACACTAACTGTTGTATTACTCCAGGGTTTGCTGTATGCGACAGTTTCTGGCGCTCATCTCGAATTTATTGATAGCAGGAACCGCATTATACATCTTCCATGGACTTTTTGGAGGTCATAATGGGTCACTGCTCTAAAATGACCTAAGTCAACATTTTGTTTTTAAAAACATACTGCCTAGCGTAATCTTTCTCGCATATTCAAGTGCAAAACTCAGAGCAGTCTTGTATGATTTTGGCCACCATGGCCTTCAAAAGAGCAAACAAGGTCACTGACCTTAACTGAACATGTGACCTTTTGCTTAGAAACAGTTATCTAGGTTCTGGGAGCACTTTAGAGGCCAACGTGGAATTTGACTTTGTTTGACCTTATTAGACCCGAAAGTCATCACCTAGGAATCTCAAACTTTAACATTAGTGAGTTCACGTACAGATCAACACACACTGTGAATTTGGTGTCTCTAGCTCTTTTTGTTCCCGAGATCTCAGCGTGGTCAAATTGACCCCCACCCGAGCGAATAGCATCTAGCCAGCCACCCGGGCGCTTGTTAAAATGCGAACAGAATTGATTTCACGGTAGCTTCTGGTTTCTGCTCTGGTTACAACGTAAAAATAACAATGAAACGAAGAAAACCGCATACCTTGTTAATAACTAAACTATATCCGGGGATATTTCTTGTGGGAGGGGATCACCATAAAGCGGGCTTTTGTCAACACCGTGATCCTCTTGGCAAGGCTCTGGCTAACCCCTACCTACGCACAAAGCAAATCAAGCCATCTTCGTTGAATGACGGGCAATTAAAGGTCCGTAGGGCCAACTGATATCTTAAGTACGCAACTTCCCGGCTGCAGTTTTCTGGGGTGGTGTGGCGTAAGGGAAGATAATTCGGAAAAAGGCTCTGTTGCATGTGTCCAACACATGTTTTACATCCCAATTAGTAGCAATTCTGATCCAGAAATGTACAATAAAGCAGACCTACCATCAGTTCGCGGTCAGTCATTCGGAGACAGCCGGGCCAGGACAGTGGCTACCGACGAAGGACGGGAGCAGGGGTCAGACAAGGAATATATGACAGAAGGACCTTCATTCTGTGGCTCTGTTTTCAAAGGAGAATCTCCATCATCTTGGGAAGCTGGATAGCCTTATTTCCCGAATGACATAGATGAGGGGGATTGGCAAGAATGTGCACCAGTGAGAAACAGCTCTAGATGCCTATCTAGAATAACGGTCATTACATTTGAATCAAGAGCGATAACCTCCATCTTTACTCCCGCCCTCCCCCTTGTTTTCCAGAAAAAGTTCCTGAAGTACGACCTGAACTTGGATCCCCACTTTTTGAAACGTTCCTACGCCTATGTGATTGCGCTTTTTGTCTGGTTTGCTATTATGTACAATGTTGTCATCAACCGATCTACAAACAGCGGTATGATGTGACCGTAGCCCAATGTAGAGGGGATGGGTTAAGCTAGCATGATCAGCTTATCCACCGAACTAAGCAGACCTTGATTCTCGGCTTCTGATAATGTGCTGTCTTGGTGAGTACTACGCCAATTTTATTAACTGTTTTGCCCTTGGCAGCGCAGCTTCTTTACATGCAGGTGACATGCGTGCCTTTCAAAAGTTGCCGTACGTCATTGTCTCATGTTGACCTCTCCTTAATGTTTTACACAACATGCGGCCCACCAGCACAATTTGCCCGTTTTCATTCGCATTTGGGCTTGCCAGTGTCGCTCTTTGATCTGCATGTGACGGTTTGCCACGACTAGATATCATAATTCGATGGAGACTGACTTTGAATAAATACATAAATAAATATATAAATAAATATTTGACTGACTGACTTTGAATGAATACATAAATAAAATACAAGGTGGAGGCTGACATAAGTCGATGTAGACCGACTTTGAAATGACAGTGACTTGGCAAGTGGTTGGCCTATGTCAAAGGCCAACATTCCTTGCATATAGGCTGAAGACAGCATTTTGGCTTACCAACCGGTTCAGTCGCTGACAAGTGGAAACGACACATTTGTGGCTAAGTGCACAGCAAAGGGTAGCAAATGGTAGCGCCTAAAATAGCGAGGGCTTAAAGAGCCTGTTCTGTCCTTTCTTCTGATACACGCTCTACCATAACCTTTTTTTTCTTCTGATAGACAGTCTGCTATAGCCTCGATCTAAACCTCAAATCAAAGCTAGCTGAAGTAAACTGAAGTGTTCGGCATCACGTAAGCTTTCTCACAGATGCAGGTCGCCGACGACGCTCACGACATTTTCTGGACGAGCGCGTCCGGTCACGGACCGGCCTCTGCCCGCTACGTCACGGACCAGCTCCTGCCCGCTGCGTTGCACAACAGACCGTCTTCTGCCTCAGCCCCTGCTACAGACGCTGCGCTGGTTCTGCTGCAGGGTGGCTGTGCACCGAGTGGACGACTTTCGCTGGCTCGCGCCCTGTCCGGTGACACCCTTACTGGACTTTCTCCACCCAAGAGCACTAGCTGGCCGGGGGGGGGGGGGGGGGGGGCGACCGGTTAAACAGTCAGCCAAGGAAAGCGGCTTGCGGTCTAGCTGACTGAGCGCGAAGCCGACACATCCAGGCTGCTGTCCCCCCGTGAGGAGCAGCTGGTGACGCCGGAGCTGAGATGCCGGAGGGGTGGACTGTCACCGGAGCTCGGACTGACTCGCCCATTAGATTCGGTGACGATGGGAGAGGCGGGACAGCCCTCCCGTTGTCACCATCTCAGGCGTTAATATCCCAGCTGCTGACGGGAATAACCGCCGGCTTAGCGCAGTGTGACAGCTCACAGCAGTGCCGTCGTGTAAAGAGCGACAACAGCTAGATGTGGCGAAAAGCGAGTGCTTCCCTTTGTACCGTTCGACGAGGTCAGCTCAGCCTCAAAACTCGGAAAACTTTTGTTGAAAAGATGTTCCCGCACCGGGAATCAAACCCGGGCCTCACGGGTGAGAGCCGTGTATCCTAGCCACTAGACCATGCGGGAGGTGACGGTATCAGCCCGCAGCCCTGAAGTTTGTCCCGTGGAAACAGTGGAACTCATACCCAAGTTCGTGGTTCACAGATTCACACGGATGTTGTCGGCGTCGCGTCTTCAGGTGTCACCTAACCGTTCAGTCACTGTACCTCAAAAGGTAACTGCGGCTTGGCAGGGCGATTCGTGCCAGCTTTTGCCCCCATCGTACCAACGTAAAAACCAACACGAGTCATCGGACGTAATACTTTCGCAGGCCGCACAGCTCCAGCCCACCGGCGTCGCATCGAACCAGTGCCGTTCTCGGCCTGCACGGATCGCTCTCTGCAGAAAATGAGTCCTCTTCGCATGCCGGGCCGCGGCGTTTGTGGCGCAAGACCGGCTGGACGGACGGCTCGACCGCCTGGGCCGGACGGACTTCAAACGAGTCCGGTCGTCTGTGGGGCGCTCTCGCCAACAAGCCGCCCAGGTGTGCCGAGATTCTCAACATGCTGGGATTCTGTTGATACTCGAGGCCGTGTTCTGTTTGAGAAATGTAGAAAGTGAACAGGCCTCACGCGTCACGGTTCACTTCCACATGCAAGCAATGCCAAGCAAACAGGCATAACGCATCACACATTGCTCTCGTACATGCAAACAAGTTCAATTAAACAGGTGTCCCGTATCACGGTCAGGCATGATTTTTATATGTTAACGATTTTAAGCTAGCGCGCATCATACGTCAAGCCACTGACCACATTCTCACACTCGGCCATGATGAGCCCTATGATGACCGGTATGATCTGGTCGATCTTCTGTGCCCGTCGATCCTTCTTCTAATCTACTTCTCGATCTTCGTGTGCATGTCGACGAATGCTTAGTGTTAGCTGCGAGGCCGACGCTGAACTGCCTATGGAGACTGCTATGTCTGGCGTCGGTATTTTTGTTGCAAAGATCTACAAGCGTACATGCTCAAAACTGCTTTATATCATTTTTCTCGCTTATTTTTTGCTGACCGAATGTTTTACATTTCCAGGCAAACATAGATGAGCGATGCCAATACAATTTTTTACCCATTTCGATCAACAATATACGATCGCGGGGTCCTCAAAACTGATCTGTAGAACCCATATCAAAATTCTGGCGGAACTTCTCAATTCCATCAGTTTTGAAAGAGGCCAATGAACCATTATGAGAGCAGCGGCGATGTATTACATGCAGTCGCTGAGCGCGTGATTTATTTAGTGTCTTGACTTTAAATTTCGAACAGAATTGATATCTCATTAGCTTCTGGCCTTTGTTCCAGATATAGCAGGAAGAAATGATGATAAATCAAAGAAAACTGTGCCCTTAATTAATAAGTTGGCCATATCCGGCCTTTTCATCGTTTGGGGCTATTTTACCAACAGGTGCCCTTCCTCAACTATGTGTCCCGCCCTTGTAAAGGCTCTGACTGCGTCCCTTACCCTGATCATTACAGATCGCAGCCCCGGTCTCATGGCAGTTTGGCAATTAGACCCCAAGGGTCAGACTGACACGAAGCTGACTGTTCAATGCTGGTGGTCGCTAGCCGAATTAAAGCCGCATTGTTCTAGCGGGTCCCAAATCGGCGCATTATAATTCCTGGCGGGGGAGCCTACGGCCAGCCCTTCAGATCTTTCGGGCTGTCCAATTGGGCCCTTGGCCGTCCGTCCTGAGCGACCCAAAGGGACCGTAGGCCACATACCACCTGTGCGCCCTCCCCCCCCCCCCCCCCCCTCCCGCCACGAGCGACCGCGCTTGCATGCCATTCGCGCAATCACGCCGCAGCAGACGCTCTCAAACCCCGCCGCACGCTCTGTAGGCACTTCATTCTTGCTACAGTATTCATTGATGCTCATAGATGGCAGCACCAGTCCGGCAGTAAAATGGCGCCATCTATGCAATTGGCTAAAGCCACAGGTCGCCGCTTAGCTTAGCGCTGCGCAGCCGCCGAAGCAGAAGACATCAGTTGGTCGGTGGCGTCGCGCGGGAGGGGAGTGCGCGTGCATCCGAATGGGTCGATGAAGCGTGAGTAATGCAAGATGCTCAGAGTGCGTGAATATGCGATTGCTGGCAGTGGCGGCTCTGTGTGTCGTGGCGCATGGCACCTTGGCGAACGATGATGAACAAGAAAAGGGTGAGTTGCGAAAATCATTTCTTTGGCAACTTCTTTGCACTGAGTAGACATATTTGTACGAAACTTGGTCGTAAAAGACCGTGGTTTGCCTTTTCGTACGTCTACCAATCGTGCGCCTCAAACACTGACCGTAGTGAATCGTCCAGTTGAATGTCGTTAACTTTTCGGTTTTCTCACTTCCCAAGTCATGCGTCAGCAACTGTGAGCCCATTTTGATGTGTCGCACCATTCATCCTGTCTTGCCGCTGCACTGTGAAGAACAAGCTTCCGGCCCACGGCGGTCACAACTAATCACATATACTTTCCATGTAGGTCGGTAACCGTAATTTGGTATGCGGCGACGATTCAGTGTGATAGTGCTAATCGATCTAACCTGTCCATCAGATGTTTTTGTGGTGTGTTCGGGCCGCTAACGGGCGCCAGCGGCTTGTACGAACACCGTGTTTACGCCCATTGTTATTTCTTAAAAGCCCGTTTTTGCTTGGCTGTTGTGCGAAAACGGCATACTGCAGCAATACAACGTGGAAAAAAATTACCGAAAGTGGGCCGGAACCGGCAACCGCACAGCCAGGCGTAGGCAGACCCGGCGTGGAGGAGGGGGGGGGGGGGGGGGCTGTGCGCCTCCTTGATAGCCGCCGCAGGCCCCGCTGCACCAGTGCCGCATGAGCCTCCGTGAGCGGTGCGCGTCCGTCCCGGTCCGGGTTCCCAGGACACGTGGGAACATGCCGCCGCCGCTCCCAGACCTGAGGCGGCAGACGGCCGGCGACAGCATGCTGGTCTCGGGGTGCAGCTGTACCGCACGGCACGCGGACGTGCCTGGGGCCACGCACCCACCTTAACTGCTGTTGGACCTGGGGCGCGTCTAGGTCCAGCTGGACCCAGGGCGGCCCGCACAATCCTGAGGAACCCAACTAAGGACCGTTTGTGTACTGGGGTGGGGGTTAACGAATACCGTACGATGCGCAACATCAACGTACAACGTGCAGACGTCCGGCGTGCAAAGTTCAACGTAAAACGTACAATGTGCTCCGGAAGTTGTGCTGTGGCTCCTCAACAATGGCTGCGGTTTTGGGGCGGGCCATCGAGAAGCGCCCTCTTAGGTCCATCAGCGGTGCCCCGCCTCAACACCGGTTTCCGTCCTGAAGTCGCAGCGTGCAAGGCAGTGGGCGTGGCGGTCATTGACCCGGTGACCTGCCCGCAGACATCGAGGCCATCGTGCAGTGCAGCACTGACCCGGTGAGCATCCGCTGCGCCTCCTTCTACCAGATGGCCACCATCCACGAGGCGTGGTTCTACGAGACGGGCCACTTTTGCCAGGAGCCGCCGCCGCCGCCACCGCCGACACCGTCCGCCTCGGTCACGGCCGTGCCTCGCTACTCGGTGCTGAGCAGCTTCAACCGCAGGTCAGTGGCCGGATCACGTTCCGAGGTCAGGTCACCAGGCCTCCGCGGAACCTGGTTACTCACCGGACCAGACGTCAGGTCGCTGAGCTGGGGCGAGGTCTCCGTGTGGTGCAGGCGGTCCCGCCCACTGCATCGAGCATTACACACCATATGGTCCTCGCCTCGACCGCCAACTGCCCATCAGCTGTCGGCCGACCCACCGCGCCGCATAATTGCCGGCTTGGTGGGCGCGTCTGCGCTTCAGACCGGACTCGGCCACAAGCTCCGTGTGGGCTGCTTCCGGCGGGCCCGCGCGCAGCCCGGGGGCCAGGCCGTGTGCGGTACGGTGCGAGGGCGGCCCCGTGAACCGCGCTCACGAGTTTGGACGCTCGAGTAGACGGACGGGGAGGGGTCGGGCGGCGGCGGCCGCCGCCCGGCTGGCGGTTTGTGCTTCTGAGCCGCGCGGCCAGGAGCGAGCCGTTCAGTGCAGAGCAGTCAGGGGCGAGCCGTTCAGGGCAGAGCGGTCAGGAGCGAGCCGTTCAGGGCAGAGCGATCAGGAGCGAGCCGTCCAGGGCAGAGCGGTCAGGAGCGAGCCGTCCAGGGCAGAGCGGTCAGGAGCGAGCCGTTCAGGGCAGGGCGGTCAGGAGCGAGCCGTCCAGGGCAGAGCGGTCAGGAGCGAGCCATTCAGGGCAGAGCAGTCAGGAGCGAGCCGTCCAGGGCAGAGCGGTCTGGAGCGAGCCGTTCAGGGCAGAGCGGTCACGCTGCCTCTCGGAACCGTGATGACGTGAGCTGAACCGGGGCCGTGGGGTTAGCAAACCGAACCGGCAGGCGTCCCGCCCAGCTACGGTCACCGCCAGCGGCAGGCTCACCACGGCCCTGGTTCGTATTCTGTCTCATCTTCGTCGGCCGCCATCCGCACTTCGGCAGCGCGCGGTGTTCGGCAATATATGGCCTCAGTTATTAGCAGGGGTTACGGGCACGGACTGAACATGCGTCAGCCTGCCGCCCGCCAGCAGCGGCAGCCTCCTCCGATGACGACCGCGGCCGATCACGTCACTGAGAGAACCCGGACGAACCCCCTCGACCGGTCATCAGCGGCTCGTGGCGCAGACTTACGCGTCAGCTGGTTCCCCAGCTGCAAAAGCGCGTTAGTTGCGTTGCTGTTTGGCAGTGTGTTTAGAAGCGCCTTTGCTTCCGTTCAGCCCCTTAAGCTCTAATACCGGTGTTTGGCATGTTTGGTGCTCAACGTATTTGCATTGTCGAGGGAGATTGGGTTTGGCGCTATTTATTGCTGCGTGTTGCAGTTTAGACGCATTAACCGTCTTTGGCGAGTTCAGGAATCATCGGCCTCGGAGGCTGGGAACAGTACAGATCTGCTTCACCATACGGTGCATCACTCTTCGTCAGTTGACGCATCTACGTCACGGAGTCAATGCGGCTGAGTCAGTGGGTGCCATTTATCTCGTTTGTCACTTTATTTCGATAAACCGCTCGGCGTGCTGATATCCTATCTCACCATTCATCTCTGAATAATCCGCGAGCTAATGAGACGGTGTTGGTTTCCCGAGCCGTAATCCCGGTCATTTGCCGGCACATTGGGCTGGGTTCGGCGGCGGCCGCCTACTGCGGCCGGGTGTGACGTCAGTGGAGCGCGTCCCGCGTCAGACCGCGGCTCCGGCCGGCGGCGGCCGGGCGTGACCGGCGGGGTCGCGGCTGCCGCCCGGCCCGCTGGTCACGCTGCGACGCCGCGGTCGCCGCGCGGGGGGTGCTGGTGGCAGCGAGCCGTTGCCGGTGCGATCCTGGGCGTGCGGCGTGCAGGCGTTCGCCACCGCCGCTCGTCAGCACACAGCTTTAGTGACGGGTGTCCCTCTCACGAAGCCAGTGGTACTGCATGCTGGCGGTGGCAAATGGCCTCGCGGGTTATTGCTGATATCTGCTGTTGGTGTCTGCTCCATGTTTCGCCGTTTTTTTACCGGGGGGGGGGGGGGGGGGGAGGGGGGAATAACCCACCTACTACTCTATCCGCTGCACAGGCCAACAAACGTAAATAATGCCATCCTCCGCTGCCCATAGCGCGCCGTCCTCAGTATTTATGACCTGGCCTGACTGCACGTCCACGACCCAGCGAGGCGCCGCTGACTGGAGCCCGTTATTTTGCCAAGATGTGCGAACTCGCTCACCCCTCATTAAAGACATCTTGACACGCGCGATGGCGTAACTAATGACTATACGGGTTGTCGAGAACGACGTCAACAACGCAGCTCTGTTGGCGACTCGATGCTTCGGCAGTCTTCCAGGATTTTATTCTTGAGGTGAGCCGACATTGGACAAACACTGCTTTGATGTACTGGCCTGGCCTCAAAGGGAAGAAGGTTCACAAATTCAATTGTTCGCCAATAAGTCACGTGACTCAGCACTACCCTGATCCAGAAGTCACGTGACCCCGCCAGTTCTCACTGTGACACTGCCGTACCCCCATCCAGTGATCGTGTGACCCTGGCTGACCTTCACCAAGTGCCCCAAAATTGCACTTTTTACAGATACCAGGAAAACGTGGCAAACGAAAGGAAAAAAGGTATATTTACATCGAATCGTGACAGTGTCGCATGACGGTTAATTGGTGACCGCTGCGATCTATCAGAATAAGGTCCGAGAGCTCATCGGAATATGTGGAGACCGCGTGCATAAGGTGTCAGTCCCCTCACCCCCACCCTCTCCCGGTACACGGCCCACTTTCTGCCCGTCCTGGCCCTAGTTCAGGTGTGCCATCCACGGTGCTCTCCCCCATGCCGTCCCCCCCCCATGCCGTCCCCGATGCTGTCCCCGGTGCCGTCCCCCATGCCATCCCCGGTGCCATCCCCGGTGCCATCCCCTGTGCCGTCCCCGGTGCCGTCCCCGGTAACGTCCCCCATGCCGTCCCCGATGCCGTCCCCCATGCCATCCCCGGTGCCGTCCCCTGTGCCGTCCCCGGTGCCGTCCCCGGTAACGTCCCCGGTGCCGTTCCCTGTGCCGTCCCCGGTGCCGTCCCCGGTGCCGTCCCCGGTGCCGTCCCCCATGCCGTCCCCGATGCCGTCCCCCATGCCATCCCCGGCGCCGTCCCCGGTGCCGTCCCTTCTGCCGTCCCCGGTGACGTCCCCGGTGCCGTTCCCTGTGCCGTTCCCGGTGCCGTCCCCGGTGCCGTCCTCGATGCCGTCCCCGGTGCCGTCCCCGTCCCGTCCCTGGTAACGTCCCGGTGTCGTCCCCGGTGCCGTCCCCGTCCCGTCCCCGGTGCCGTCCCCGTCCCGTGCCTGGTAACGTCCCCGGTGCCGTCCCTCATGCCCTCCCCGGTGCCGTCCCTCATGCCGTCCCCGGTGCCGCCACCCGGTGCTCACGTGGCCCGGCCCAGACACGCCACCCGGTCGATAGCGTCCAGCCGTCTGGCCCCGAGACGGGGACGAAACGGAGATGGACGAGGCCGGCGGTGCGACCTTGCCCACCTCCGTCCCCCCGGCCCGAGAATCACTGATCGAGCGGCTCCCCTCACCTCTAGTTGGGCGGCTCCCCCCTCCTCTGGTCAGACGGCTCCTCTCACTTCTGGTTGGGTGGCTCCCCTCACCTTTGGTTGGGTGGCTGCTCTCACCTCTGGTTGGGTGGCTCCCCTCACCTCTGGTTGGGTGGCTCCCCTCACCTTTGATTGGGGGGCTCCCCTCACCTCTGGTTGGGGGGCTTCCTTGACCTCTGGTTGGGCGGCTCCCCCTCCTCTGGTCAGGCGGCTCCTCTCACTTCTGGTTGGGTAGCTCCCTTCACCTCTGGTTGGGCGGCTCCTCTCACCTCTGGTTGGGCGGCTCCTCTCACCTCTGACCGGGCGACTCCCGTCGCCTTTGACCAGGCGGGACGCCGCACAGCTGTGTCATCTGGACGAGAGGTGGGTGTGGCCTGAGAGGCTGGCATGGCTTACGAGGCGGCTCTGGCCGGCGGAGTGGGTCTGGCCCGAGAGGCGGGTCTGGGCTGGGAAGCAGGTGTGGCCTGAGAATCGGATCTGGCCTGGGATGCGTGTATGGCCTGAGAGGCTGGTCTGGCCTGGGAGCGGACCCGGTTTGCGGGTATGCCCGGCCGGCTGCCGCCCACCTCATCTCGCCATCTGGCCATGAAACGGCCGCCGGACGGATCGATGCGGGCCCGGTCGGCACGGGTTCGGGCGGGGTCGGCAGGGTCGACTGGGCGCCTGCACCGGCTGACGGTCGAGATCTGCACCCAGACCTCCCACGAGCGGTATCCTCAGGCCCTGAAGGTGAGTTTTGCTGCCGCGCCGTGCGATAACATTAAGATCAAATTTGGGATCGTTTTTAAAGTTCATTAAAATTCAGTGATCACAAGGACGTCAGCAGGCTTCTTATTTTGACTCATTGAAGGTGGGTGTGAACATTGACCTAGAATGACCTCGATCAGCCATGTGCCTGAAGAACACAGCCCTAGTGTATTTCTTGGCGCTGGTTTTAAATTCAAATACTAAGATAATGTCGCAGGTTTTTAAGCCATTTTTACCTGTAGAAGTCAGACAAGGTCACTGACCTGATATGACCCCGATGGACCTTTTGCTTGGAAAATGTATCTAGGTTAGCTAGGTTTTGTGTAACGACCTGTTGTGGTCTACGTAACGACCCTTCGTGGTTTTCGTAACGACCTGTTGTGGTCTGCTTAACGAGCCGTCGTGGTCTGCGTATCGACGTCTCGTGATCTACGTAACGACCATTCGCGGTCTGCGTGACGACCCGCCGTGTTCCACGTAACGACCATTTGTGGTCTGCGTAACGACCCGTCGTGGTCTGCGTAACAACCCGTGGTAATCTGCGCAACGACCCCTCGTGGTCTGCGTGGCGACCATTCATGGTCTGCGTAACGGCCCATCATGGTCTGCGTAACGACCCGCCGTGGTCTACGTAACGACCCGCCATGGTCTGCGTAACTACCCGTCATGGTCTGCGTAACGACCCGCCCTAGTCTGTGTAACGACCCGCCATGGTCTTCGTTACGAACCGTCG